TCTATTTGGAACATGCATACAAACATACATGCAGACGGACAAACAGACAGACAAACATGCATTTGGCTTTAACATATATCTGTCTGTAATGAATCGTGCTGTCAATTCAAAAAAACTCAGACACTGGGAGCGGGCGAGCCGCGGCCCAGTTCCGGCCGGGCAATCGCAGCTCCCGCGGGCCGGCCGTGAATGGACAGTCGGCTCGGCCGTAAATGAGCCGCGGCTCGCCCGTAGTGGGCCGCGGCTCGGCCGGGATAGGGCCGCGGCTCGGCTGTATTGCCTCTTATTAAAGGCAGTGTCCGGGCAAAAACTCGATCTTGAGATTTTGTGCTTACTTGGGCCTATTCGCTACGCTGTGAATCCGAAAATGCACATTGTAGAGCGCGAAAACGGCGAAAAACGGCTCTAACATGGGAAAGAATTCAGCAGGTGGGCGGGGTCTTCTCCACTGTGAATTCACGCTCCCGGCTTCCAGAGCGATATTATCGGTTCCGATTTCAAGTCATGCATTCGCACCTGGCCGGTGGAGACTCAGGGCGCTAGAGGAATTGGAAAGATCGCCCGAAAGCTGGAACTGCGAAATTCACTGCGGGGAGGGCCCCGCCCATTTTCGATTTCCCTCCTGCGTTAGAGCCCTTTTTTGCCGTTTTCGCGCTTTCCAATGTGAATTTTCGGATTCAGCATAGTGAATAGGGCCGGGTAAGCACAAATCTCAAAATCGATTTTTTGCCCGGACACTGCCTTTAAATCGTTCTAGCACTTCCAAATGGAAATTTTAGTTGCTTCTTTTAGCACATGAAGGCAACAGAACAATCACATATTCATGACAACTCATTTATCTTCTGTGTCCAGAATATACATAAAAAATAGTCACAACCGTGAACAAAGAACCAAACAATCTACAAAAAATGATGATATCCTTATTGCGCTGTTCTACTCCCATTGCTCTCAAAGGCGCATATAATATGTTTCGTCATCTATCATCTCGATGTTGCCTTATCTTATCCATGTGAATTGGCCCCGGCTGATACGTAAAGGGATGACACTGGTTCCGTTAATAATCTTCTTGGTTCGGAAGAGTGCGAAGTGCTTGCGACTGTTCCTAAAATGTGCTTTAAGTGCTACCTTTGCTCGTACATTTTTCCTACCTGGCCTGACTCTAGCAGGAACGGTGCTGTTGCGAGGACGAAACATGTCTACGAAAAATGTCCAAGCGAAAGAACCGAAGAGCACCAACGCTCTTGTTGAATGGAAACTACCTTCGTCAATGGTCATTACGAGATCATGACTAACTTGTTAATTTGCATATCTGGTCAGACATAAGCAAGAGCCGCGGGTCGGCCGCTGCAATGAACAAGGGCCGCGGGTCGACCGCACTCAGACCACGCCTTCAATTTAGGGCCGCGGGTCAGCCGCGATCTGGCCACGCCCCCAAAATAAAGCCGCGGGCGGGCCGAAAAGGCCCTTTAAGGCCGCGGCTCGCCCGCTTCCAGTGTGTGAGAAGGTGAAATAGCGGGAAACTACAGTACGGTCCCGAAAGCTCGCGCTCGCGCCAGCACATCTACGATGCGCAAAATGACTAGCACATGCGCGATCTAGGCGCAATACATGTTATTCTTCTAATTGCCACAAATGGACGATTGAAGCAAACCAATAACACATGCTTTCAGCTGTTTTCTTTACATGATTTACTGTTATTAACAATCTTCATTTGCTCATACCACTTACACTATGACGAGGCTGAGTTCCAATGTAATTCTGATGTTTCATTCCCTTTTCGGATTTTCATCATAACAATATGCTGTCGGTTTCTGTATCTTTCGACTTTAGAGTGAGGTAATAGGTTAAGAGAGACCATGTTCTCTCGCTTGCTCTCGTTCCTCAGAAATGTGAAACTATGTTCAAGCTATCTAATTTAATAAATCAAATATAGATGCTGAGTTGATGGCTCATTTCTTAATCTCGGATAGTGTATATACAACGCATAACAAAACATTGTCAATCATTATATTCAATCCTGCCTATCTCTGGGTCGTCCGTCTGCCTACGCATGGGCTTATTTGGTTATCAATCTTGAATCAACGTTCAAGTCGACGCTTTTCTTGGTTCCGCTATTTGTTCATGATTCTTGATTGCAGTCATTTTAAGAATGCCATTAAGGATGAATACATTACAGCCTGTCTCGCTTTTGTGCTCATGCTTATCGATTTTGTGGAATGAATATGGTGGGATCTGCCAAATGACGTCGAACTTTACTACAAAAGTTACCTGTAAGAAGTACTGACAATGAGAGCGTTTTCGTAGGGTTTGCAAGTCTTTTATTTTCTTCGATTGCATTCGTCGTTTGCTATCTTTGAGGTTGATTAGCGCCAGAGTATTTTGTCATTTGCTTATCTGGACTCATAAGCTTGAAGGGGAAAACTTCGAAAAATAAATGTGTGGAATGTCGTGCAGTTGCACAAGAAATCAGCGCTTGAGAAGAATGAACGAATATGTTGATGTGTTGTTTATGATATGTGAAATAGTCCTGTGCACTAATAGACATTTCTTAGTAAGTATAGTTCATTCTCAGTTCCTTGTCGTCAAGTAGAGAACTCAGTCTCCAATCGTCTTTCTGCACACGCCATGGCAAACACAACTAGGAACTTCTAATGATATTACTTCTCTTATACTTAACGGTGGAATATGATGATTATGCTGACAAAATGAATATGTAACAATCGTAGATTTTTGATATCTACGTTGTAATTCTGTGGTAGTTACAGGGCTTATCAGTTGCAGTGCCTGGTGCATCAGTTATTCAATCGATTGAGGCTCTGCCTTTTCCCGCGCTCGCGGTGAGAGAGTGATCCGCGAGCATGTTCGCGAAAGAGGTGCAGAGTCCAGGCGAAGCAGCGGCAAAATCACTACTCAATATTAAAGCGCTAAGGCTGTGTGCCTTTTTGTCTGTTTGTATATCTGTCTATCACAAAATCATAGAATAAGCTGTCATACGTGCTCAAGAACGCTCCGATGCGCGAATAGAAATTGCGCATTAAAAGAGCTCCCGCGGCTTCTGACCCGCTGCGGCGGTATCAAGACTCTTGGCAAAGTGATGGATTTGTCCGAAAAGCAAATTTGAGTTAGGGATTTTGGCCCAAAAAGGTGATTAGAAGGTCCATTTTTTGCGAAAAGCCATAAGAATATAATCGCGTTATTCGCCATTTTATCAAGGTTCTCCTAGGAAAACGAAGATTTTTACTCACAAGGGAAGGATGTGGGGCCGTGTGACTATTTAGATATTAAAATGCGCTCCTTGAAACGCTGATCTCGAAACTTCGTCCGTTATGCCAAACGCTTTTCCAAGAAAATTTACCGCCTGTAAAGGCAAATTGCAAAAACGTTCGCACTGACAGATCAAACGGGCAACCATTGTACAGTCGAGTAGATTCTCCGCTTAATATAGTGTGCTTGCACAGAAGACGAAATGCGGCGAAATTTGCGCGTGAATAAATAGCCACGCCAGTACTGCCGGCATTTTGCGCGCGCGGCTGGCCAGCGTCACAGTCGAAGCTATATGTTCACGCCCAAAATTTAACGCATTTTGCCTTCTGTGCAAGCACACTATATTAAGCGGAAAATCTACTCGACTGTACGTTAATTCACAACGCTTGCCGCCCATTTGACATCTTTAGCATCTGCTGACATTACCGCTGCTGCGTGACGATGGCGCAGAAGCAGTATTAGCTGAGTGGGCGCGAACCCTACGCGCGCGTATCTGCGCCTTCGTCATGCAGTAGCCTAACTCTTGTGCATCAGATACGAGGAATTACGGTGTTTCTCAAAAATCTTCAGAAAACGAACACAGTCTTTGATCAAGGTTTCAAAGTAGATGTCGTGACATATGTCATCGAAAGGCTCCACAGTCACCAAGTATCCTCTCCCCGTTGCACATCCACTATGGTTTTCATTATTGTACTTTACGACGACCAAGCCATATTAAATTGCAATAACCAATTCAATTACACATTCATTCTTTTGCACAGAAATTTCTTCCTGTCAAAGCTACCATTCCTACATGGAAGATAGTTGTTCTAATGCATTTGCGATGTTCAGCATTTGCGATAAGCTTCAAAGTCATTATAACGCGAGCAAGAGGAAAGCATACAGATGATAAAACTAGTGCGAAGCTCTGTGAAGCAGAAATGACGCGCTGATATATAATATGTAACGGTCGGACAATGTCCTGATTTCGCAATTTGAAAAGCATCAATGGGAGAAGGAAGTTCTCTAGTTTCTTTGACCTGCGTTCATACTGATTACGAAATCCGGGAACAGTTCCAGCACAGTGTTTGAACTGAGCGTTGTGCTGGGGCTGTTTCCGGATTTCGTAATCAGTATGAACACAGCCTTAGACTCTAAACGATAACGTTTAGGCTAAACACGCACGTAATTACATGAGAAGCCCCTCGAGTTCTCCCAAAGTGGTTTCGGAAAGACCGCTGTGTGCACCTCTTGAAACTACGAGGTCTACAGCACACTAACAGTGGAAGGTCACTTGGAGGGAATCGGGAACTTGACAAAAAGCGCTAATTCCAAGATATTTTTTACACATTTGAAGCAGGAAATTTATCGGCTTTTCTTTTGCCTTTTACGGGTACATTGAGTTACACGGTAACTTACACAAAGGGGTATGCAGACCTAAGCAATTCGCTCGGTAAACACTGCACGCTCAGTCATGTCATCCAAACATTTTCGAAAGTTTTCTAAACATGAATCTGTCAAGACTTCATTTTTCTTCCGGCCACACTCCTGTTATGAAAACAAAAAAGCCCATGAGTTCCTGTAGAATAATGCTTCGCGACTATGAAATTTTTACTTGAGACTAGCTCAAGCTCTATCTATCGGTATGCATCACTCTCCAGATTGCCTTTTCGATTGGACCCTTTCCGTTGTAAGTGAAATGTGACATTTGATCTCACTTGTTTCCTGGAACATGTGCAGGCTCTCCCTTATATGATTCAGTTTTTGCACAGATACCACGGGATGCTTTGTTGCAGGATTAGGAGTTGTGTTTGCAGATCCATTTCCAATGCTTTGTTCCTCTGCAAAACTCTTCTAGAAGTGCGATGATGACTGACACCTATCGTCTAGTCTCCGCTCACAGGCAACCCAATGGCGATACAATTCTGAAACTGTATTAGTGTGGGCACCTAGTTAAACAAATGTATTTTTTCTAGATTTTCTACCACCTCTTTCTAGTTGATCTTCTACATTTCGCCAATTGTGATCCTGATTTATCCTCCTTTGAATGCACTGATATAAGCAGCTTTCAATAATGGTTTGTACAGATAGCAAAAAATAAAGCTTCTACTTTTTAGCAAATGTTTCTTGTTCTCTTGTTCGTGTTGCACACTGCGAGAAAATGGGAGCAAAGGAGGGGAGGGGTGGTAGGGAGAGGGGGCGAGAGAAGAGGAGTAAACGAAGTGCAAAAAAAAAACAAAATTTAGGAACGCGAAACACATCACAACCCTCACGATTGTAAGAAGTTTTTTTTTTACAAATTTTGAGCTTGCTTAAACTTTACCTCGACATGCTTTTCAAATTCACAGCCACAAGGTGGTTTAGTTTTCGATCGTAACCGCAGATAACTCCTTCCTTTTCCTACCTTCTTTCCTAAATTGAAGTAGAATTTCTAAAGCAACGTCGTTTATTGGTAGTCATGATGCAATACGGAGCAACATGCACATATACTTACCAGAGATGACATCCCATCTCAATAGTGAGGAAGATCACAGTTGTACTGATAGTAAATCGGAACATGTCATCTCGTTGTCGATTCGGTTTCGTTTGCGCCACTGAATATTTGATTTGGTGGAGCGTCCGTCATTTTAGATGCGGCATGTTTTGTCAGCACATCTGATAAGTGTTAGTTCGTTTATAGTTTTCGACGCCCATACCAGTGTAGAATACCAAAGTTGCTTTTCCATTTACACGTGCTTTCATCTTCTTCAAAACGCATTATCTTTAATGACCTTGTTATCCCTGAATACTGATGTTGCTTTAATGCTGCTTTGTTAGGTTTGAAAAACCAATTGAATCATTACATTAAAAATCACTTAAAGTCCATTAATTTAAGTTGTAAACCCAAAACAATGAACATTCACAAATTTTTGAAAATACTCCAATCAAGACCATAAGCGTATTATCGCACATGACTTGTCCCATTTAGACATGACCTCCACTTCTTATCTGAACAGCTATCTTTGATCCTTTTACATTTTATTGAAATACTTACATTAGAAGTCCTCTCTTGCTTCCTTAAAAAGACGCACCAAGATTTGTCCGTAATATACTACATGAGACTTAAGGTCATGGGAGTCATGACCTTGAGGTGTGGTGTTCTTAACATCGCTAAGTGCATTCCTGTAGAGATATACAAAACTGACGCGAATGGTACTGCAAATTGAAGAAAAGAATGTTGATAAAAGTCAAACATTGTTGGAACAGCAACAACATCTTAAATCTTACTCATTGATGACAACTGTGGCCTTCTGATGGCGATCTTCTAAGTTCGCACTCTTTGTTGGTCCAATAGCCTTTCTCCATCTGAGATTCCAAATTATAATAACATGAAGTTTCAAAGTTTCAAAGAATTTCCTTTCCAGTATCTGCTTGATACTCCATCTCAAAAATTCAAATCAACGCTACGGTTTTTCAGGCACATATTACAATAAATACTCTCACCTATTTTATGCATGTTTTCCTTCATATCACTACTCTTACTGCACTTGCTTGATATCTTACTCAAAATATTGGACTATAGCTACGAAATTCTGTCGCAGTATTCAGTATTGATGAATACAAACGTTCTAATTTATAAACATAAATGATGATGTTAACGAATATGAAGAATTATAATGAGATTTCTCTGCCTTCTATTTGTGGTGGAATTAGACAAGAAGGGAGGTAATGCTTATATTCCCTCTTGTATATTATATTGCTAAAGCATGCAAAAGGTGTTCAATATTTTTTCAAATTAACAGTATAAGAAACAAAAATGAAACTTCCGTCACCACCTTCTAACTTCTTGAGTATTATCCATCGCTGTATGGGCAACATTAAGAAACAATATTTTTAGGCAACGTCTGAGTCAATCTGCATTTGTTGTTGGGTCCCTTCAATTAGACTTTTGTTATTCAGAGGAAAAGAGTTCAATGAAAGGCAACGTAGAGGAAACTCCATACAGAGCATTTGATAGGCGAAATGCCCTTCTTTCGCGATGAATCTCGGTTGCCGCTGTAAAGCGCTGAAATTTTGAGGCACTCTCCAGGATTGCTGCACCGGGTTCTCTCACAGCATTTTGAAGACAGCATCCGGGCAAATGTAGACCTACGGGACGCATGTGGAAAGTTATGTTGGCAGCTTCACTAAAACACTGCTCAAGCAGCAGGGCAGATGGTGCATTCGCGGCTGAGACATCCGTTTCTACAGAGCCCGCTACCATATTTGTGGACGACTTGCATCAGGTCATGCGCTGCACGCGGACTCACCACCCTTTCAATGGGTCTCCGCGCAGAACCTTGCAAGTCAGTGCAAGTCAATTGTTATACGCGGTACTGGAAACAGTTGCCTGAACGCTGCCTTTAAAGGCAGTGTCCGGACAAAAACTCGATTTTGAGATTTTGTGCTTACCCGGGCCTATTCGCTATGCTGAATCCGAAAATCCACATTGGAGAGCGCGAAAACGACGAAAAAGGGCTCTAATACTGGAGGGAAATCAGCAAGTGGGCGGGGTCTTCACCGCTGTGAATTCACGCTCCCAGCTTCGGGGGCGATCTTTTTGATTCCGGTTTCAAGTCATTCGTTTGCACTTGATCGGTAGTGATGTCAGGGCGGCTAATGGATTCGAGAAAATTGCTCTGGAAGCTGGAAGCGTGAACTCACAGTGGGGAAGACCCCGCCCACTTGCTGATTTCCCTTCAGTGTTAAAGCCCTTTTTCGGCGTTTTCGCGCTCTTCAATGTGGATTTTCGGATTCAGTATAGCGAATAGGCCCGGGTAAGCACAAAATCTCAAAATCGAGTGCCTGCCCGGACACTGCCTTTAAGCCTCCAAAAATGTAGAAAGACAGCTTTTAGCTTTTGCAGCTTTTACGACCTCCCCTAAGTACCCAAATCGTGCGTGCTGAAAAATTACGATTCTAACCTCAGTTTTTACTGCAGTTAAAGGAAGGCTCAAGCTTACATGTGGCACAGGAACGTGGGCGTCAAAAATATCAAGGTATGGTAGAACTGGTAGTCATACATTCATGAGCTTTTGCTCAAGATCCGCTATTTGAATAGCGAGGCTCTGGCACTTTGTTCAGAGCCGCATGATGTCAAGACACTTTGGCCAGAACCGCATGCATGTTCCCGTCTAGAAGAAGAGCGTCCATTCTCGAGTATTTTTATTACTTTTTATTATAAACACCTGAACGGGAAACATTCTTGCTTTTTGCATGATCCTCAAGATCTCCTGAGGTCAAGAGTCTCTTTCAAAGTCACTAATTGTTGAAGGGAGACTCCAAACACCAGCTAGTACTAATAGAGCTCAATTAGTAAGTACGTTTAGGTTGTGTACGTTCTTAGAAATCTTTCTGAATGGACGGTCCGTGATAAATTCTACTTTCATGTAAATAGCCGCAACCTGCAACATAGACTACTTTTTGCGGCAATTCGCTGGGCGCTTCTATCAATTTTTTGACTTACATCTGTAAGAATGGAAGATTTTCAAATCATAGCCCAATAGTCATGTGAACAAAGGTAAAGCTTAATTCTATTGTGGTCAGCGGTAGGCGATTAGAAAGCAAGTCCACTCTGCTGCATAGATTGTTGTGATGCTACATAGGGTACAGGAAGCCACTGGGTAAGTTGGAAGGTAAGAAAGAGCGGAGAGGGGAAATGAATACAGTGCCGATGATTAGGAGACACTCAGGAATCGTCGTATTTTTCTTGTTGACGAATCTGTCCGAAACATTGCTGTATCGTGCGCGTGTTAGCTTACCATGATCCTTCAAAACGGTTGTTAAGTTCGAACGGAGGAAATAGAAAAGTTCGAAAAAGCCCCTACCAAAAGCTAGAGGAAATAATAAAGCCACATGGTTTTTTTAACCTATCGCACCTTGACTCTAAAAAATTTTTTTGTACGGTTACATACTAAAATATGAATCATTTGCAGCATCTGCAACCTTTCATCTTCTTTAAAGAAAAATGAACACTGCATTTTTTGCTCTTGGAAGCATCAAAAGTGAAAGCGCTTCATCGTACAGCTGGTTTGAAAAGTTTTTAAGGCTCTTGTTTATTTCATGTAGTCATGAGACCATCCACGGAGTATACTTGGGTCCGAATCGAATAGAAATTCGATCATTCGAATAAAACATTCGAATGTATTCGTATTCGAAATTCGATATTCGGAGTTCTTCCATTTTCGAATGATATTTGAAACTCGAATAATTGAGAAAACGGGGTTTCGAATAAAAATCAAAACTCGAATAATCAAAAAACAGGGTTTCGAATAAAATTCGAAAACTCGAATAATCAAAAAACGGGGATTCGAATAGATTTTATTCGAATGTTTTATTCGGATGTTTATTCGAAATCGTATTCGAATGTACTCCGTATTCAGATTATTCGACTTTGTTGCAGGGCCAACTGCTAAGTATCAAGCTCACTTCGTCCGCATTTTTTTCGCAAAACTCGGTAGTGCATCTTTTGCAACTGGTATACCTTTGAACTGTATGGAGAGTCGCATTCTTCCGACTGCTTGCGACAGTAAAAAAATCAGATGTGGATTTTAATTGATGTTTTTTCGATCAATGAGATTGTTCGCACTGTATTGGCACCAAATCAGCGAAGAAGATATCAAATTCAAGCTCATGTTCTGAGTTCATACTGAATTAAAATGGCTGTTCTTCTTTCTTTGCATGCTCATGCTCGCGGTACGCAAAGCCCACAGTAGTGAGCACTCTTGCTCGCATAAATTATTGTAAAACTGCCTAATCGTTACTTTGGAGTTTTTTGCGAATTGGTGTATACTGAGTAAAGGACATCGCAGTTGTAGTGCAGGATTAGACGGTTTAGATCGCCTACGCGATTTGCCAGTTACTAGATGTCTTCAGATGTAATGGCAGCTTACCACAAATGTTTAGCGTATACAACATACTAAAATGATAAATGCCCTGCATTCTGTACTTTCAGAATAGGTTTTGGACAATTTGAGTGTTGCCATATCACGTCGCCACTGAAATGCCTGCAGTATGCCCGGGGTTATAGGGGCATTCGTGCTCGATTCGCGGAGGAAACCACATGTCTTTGTCCACGAATAGCTTATACCACACAAGACGAAAGTCTCCGATGAACAAAAAAAAACCTTGAGCTACGAGGTTGGGAGTTGGTACAAGGGGGTAAGTGAGAGTGCTGATTATGAACAAAAATTTACTTTATCGATTTTATCGATTTTTGGAAAATCTTGAGCTACGAGGCTGGGAGTTGGTACAAAGGGGTAAGTGAGGGTGCTGATTAAAACCGAAATCTATTTTATTAATTTCAGCAATTTTTGGAAAATTCTGAGCTAGGAGTTGGTATAGGGGATACTAGGGGGCTGATTATGATTGGATCGGCTTTAGCCAGATATGTCGGCAAGTTTGAGATGTGATTGCTTTAGTTATTCGATAAATCATTCGAATATTTAATCGAAATTCGACTTCCAATGTTCGAATATATTCGAAATTCATTCATTCGATATTTTTGATTTTCCGAATTTATTCATTATTCGTTTATTCGAGATTTTTCCTTTTCGAATTTATTCGATATTCATTCATTTGATGAAAAATTATCGAATTACCCAAGTATACCACGGAGCTCTTTCGATAGATGAGTTGAAGAGAATTTTCAAAGACTCTGCGTACTCACTGATATGAACGGACAAGCTTGAACTTCAACATAGGTTTGCCACGCTTTTAAACCA